ATTTGGGACTTTTTTTTGCTTTTCCTTGTTGTATCGAACCCGTACCGAACCGTGACCCCCAAACCGAGGTATGAACCGAACCGTGACTTCTGTGAACCGTTACACCCCTAATATGTTGCACTGGGTTGGTTTGATGATGTAGCATTTTCTACTTACATTTATTGCGTTTGCTACTTCTTACTAACCTTAATACAAGGAGATTTTTTTCTCCAGTTTTAAATAGTTTTGGCCTTCCTGCCTCATATGTGTACTTGATTAAAAATAATATGTTAGGGTAACTTGTAAAGAGACGAGATACTGACCTCACATTAGAGATGCTTTCCTGCAGCTGCGCTTTAATCATTTCCCCCTCTTCTTTTATCTGCAGCGGTCGTACAGCCGTGAGCTCTTTGAAGAGGTCATCTCGAAGATGAGGAAGGCTGGTATTAAGTCTTCTATTGCCATTGAAAAATTCAAGCTGCTATCGGACAAGGTGGAGGAAATAGTCGCCAAGAACTCCCAATCCGAAATGGACTACAGCGACGCACCTGACGAGTTCAAAGGTGTGTGTCTGGAAAAAATGTCACTTGCTCAGCAATCTTGTCTGACCTAAAGTCAGTTGGTGCCAGTGTTGTGCTAGTTACTGAAAACCAGTAACTAGATACCATTACTAGTTACTTCATTTCAAAAGTAACTCAGTTACTTTACTGAACAGCTTACACCCAAAAGTAGTGCGTTACTGTGGAAAGTAACTTTTTAGTTACTTAAAAAAAGGGCTCCCATTAATGCCCTCATAGCCTTCATTTCAGAATTATTGCATTGGAGAATAATACAATCTGTTGATCAACTTGACATGCATTATATGCAATCTGGATTGCATCGATATTAGCTGGCTTTCCATTTTTGTATATTCTTTCTCCAGGTAGTTGGAAAAAGTTTTCCGTCCCATATGCCGTGTGCCGCCCGGACATGCTATCATGCTAACTAGCTCCCTGAAAGCGGGTGACTCCACTGTAGCAATAGCCTGCATGTGTTCTACAACATACCGTGCAATGGCTTTATCGACTTTTCCCTGGCCAGCAGTCCCTTGGTTAAAATCCAGCCGCTGTTGCTTAGGTGGAGGTGGAGTGGCGTCGGCTGAGTCTCTGTGGTCTTAGCTACTAGCTTCGTCCCAGCATGTTGTTTCTGCAGATGTTTTAAGAGATTTGAATGACTGGTTTGGGCAGTAGATAGGATCTTTGACCCGCCAAGACACAACTTACATTTAACTAAAACGTTCTTTGTGCTCGACAAAAGTGAAATAGTGAGAATATCTCCAGGTGGAGAAACTAGACTTGAGCTCCGCCGCCGCCATGATAGTCTTGTTAGTAAACAACACAAACACGCCCACAGCCCGTCTCCGCATGTGACACAGGAAGTATCTAAGTACATTTACCCAAGTACTGTACTTAAGTACAGTTCTCATCTCTGTTCGCCTGGCTGTTGACTATATAAAAAAACTAACTTAGTAACGGAGTAACGCACCATGTAGTAACGGTAACTGAGTTGCTGAATTTAAAAAGTAATGCGTTAGAGTACTAGTTACTGCCAAAAATAACGGCGTTACAGTGACGCGTTAGTCCTAACACTGGTTGGTGCAGACAAACAAGATCTTCAGAAGCCTCTGTTGCTGTTGAATTCCAGACATTAGCGGGGGCTTTTGCAGCTCATAGAGGTCATATAGAAAGCTTAGAGCGAGGCTATCCTGTAACCACAGACTTAATATAATCTAGATCAAGAACGTGGCCCACATACCACCTTTGATTCGCAGATATGCCAGCCAGCCCACCACAGGTTGCGGGAGTGTGCCGTACGGGAGGCTTGCGTATCGCCTTTCTCTGCGGTTAAAATCTCCCACGCCAGGTTTTATTTTTGTAACACACAAGTCCTACTGTAAAATCCATGTGACATTGCTATAAAGGGCACACTTTTGACGGCCCTCATTGAGAATTTATTGGATATTTCTTTTACAGTTGTTTATGATGGCTGCACAAATAGTGTTTCCTATAAAACCTTTTTTCCTCAGCTGTGCTTCGACATGTCACCAACGTTTGTTGATGACGCACCTTACAGCTTGATAATATTTAATGTAGTTTATTTTTGTTTTATTTCATTTTTTATGAATTCATTCTTAATTCAAAGACATTTGCGAAAGTAACATTTATTTATAAAGCGCTTGACAAAACATTAAAACATCATAGGAATCATAAAACAATACATGACCACAAAAGCCACGTGTTAAGTGCGAAAAACACAATAAATAAATAAAGCCAGAGGGTAGAATAAATAGTAACCTCTGCTCACATGTATGCACAACATTTTAATATGAAGATTCATTAGGCTATGATGTTTGTCAAGCCTCTTGTATGACAATGGCACTTAGTGTGCTGATTCTGGGAAACCTTTAACTCCCAAGATATCTAGTTGAAGCATATTTCTTATCATTGCGAAAGTGATATGTTCTTAATCATCTTATAAATGTATGCTTGACCTTGTTGAAACAGACCCTCTGATGGACACACTGATGACTGACCCTGTGATATTGCCTTCGGGAAACATCATGGACCGATCCATCATCCTGCGCCACCTGCTCAACTCCCCCACTGATCCCTTCAACAGGCAGCCTCTCACAGAGAGCATGCTGGAGTCAGGTAACCCACCATGATGCTGTTGATGCAACAGTTATTACATTAAGTTGTGTTCAAGGAAGGGAAGAGCAAAAGTCTTTCTTACTAGGTACAGTCAATAGGTTATTTTGTTTTAGATTTAAGGCAAGTGTTTTCAGGATACCTTAATGTTAAATGAAATGACAGCCTACTACATTCAAATATTAGTTTCTTATACATTCCTCACAATTGTTTTGTATTTCTACAGTCCCTGAGCTGAAGGAGAGGATCCACACCTGGATGAGAGAGAAACAGGGCGGACGGCTTGTCTGAGAACACCTACGCCTGGCCTGTTAACCATCATTAAAAGAGCTGTCCATCGACTGAATTCAGTGTCACGACTACAAAAACCATTTGAATGGAGAAAAAAAGAGCTGATTTTATTTTATTCGCATTTACCCTTTTTTGTCTCAAACCATTATCATGGTTCTAAAAACAAAATATAATAAAGTTAAGACTTTTAAGTTTTTTTTCCTCATGAGTTTGTGTATATATATATCAAAAATATATACATATATTTAACAAAAGTTAGTTAATGCATTATAGTGCTGCAAGAATACGTTTCCAACACCAACGGGTTTACCAGCAAGGTGCATAGAGTCCATTCATTGATCATTTTCCTTTAAGGTTCTCATTTTGTTTTGTACTACTCTGTATGTTGGCTTTATTAAAGACTTGTGGTTTTAGGGAGAGGGGAGGGCAATACATGTGGGAGATTGTGGGTGGGTTCTGATAAAATTGCTATTTCCGAGTTTTCATTATCAAGACTGTGACAATGATAAACTTGAGTCCACATAATATTTGCTGATGTTCCAGAGCTATGTGCTTGTAGTTCAGAACTGGGAATATCCATTAAGGATGTAGTTTAACGCAAACTAATCCTAAATGTCAGCTTCTTTTTGAGTACAGTATAGATAAGCAGTGGTTCACGAAATACTGTATGTTCAGTCTTTCCTTTTTACTCACCTTTCCCCTGCTGACTTCAATAGACTGAAATTACTTCTCTGTGCATGGCCTCAAGTCCAGAACCTCCTAAGCGCCTCATGGACAAATAACCCTCTTTTAGGCGACCTGAAAAGAACGTGAGAGAATGTAGCATGACCACCAGAAACACCATTGTAGGAGCACACCATTAAACGTCTGCTCTTCAGAACCACTGACCTCCCCCGTCAAGATGGTCTCGTTTTAATGGCACTGTACGTGACATGACCGTATTGACCTTAACTGTACAGGAAAAGATTTCCTTTAACCACAGACTTGTTTTGGAAGCTAGGATTTTGAACTGAAATAAATGATGATGCACATTATTTTACAACTGGTCACTGTTTTATCTACGGATTGATATTGTAGTGGTTATGATTTGTCTTTTTCTCTGAGCAAAGCTTTTTTGGTTTACTTTATTTAACCTTATGAAAGGATGGACTCTGCATCAGAATCAGAGATTATTGAAAGTCTTTATCTTATATCTTTAATAAATGTTTATGTAAAAAAGCATGCAGCAATCCAGGTAAAATTGACAAGTACAATAAATATCAAAATGATCAATAGTCACCCAAAGTCAAATAGCAAAACAAGAGAAAATCTCCAGTTAAGATTAGATGGTTAATTTACAATTCTCCTGTTAAAGATTATTTTGTATAACATAAAAAAACAATGCATTGCAATTCCTGGCAGCACAAAAGCTGCTTTTGCTAATGTGGTTTCCCAAATGCACAAGCTTAGTCATTCTTCTACTGTAATTGTTATAAAGTAATGAATCAAACGTGGCAACTATCCCAATGTATTTGATTGGAAAGGTTTAAACATTGTGTTTAAGGGAAAACAGGAGCAAGGCTTTTGTATTTGTTGCACAACATGAACAACCTTACTGCAAAAAAATGTATTACCTAAATTAAATGAATTGCGTCCAACAGAAAACGGAGCAGAAAAATAGGTTTGTTCTTTGTATTTTTATATTTAGTAGCCTAACTATGAAAGCATGTGTGGCACTGGCACTTAAGTGGTCAAATATATATGTTAAAATGTAGAATAGGTAGATAGATGTTAATGAATTGGCAAAACCATTTATTTATCTAAGCAATGAGATGCTCCATGCTCGCTAGACGGCGCTCTTCGCGGTGACCCCGGTGTTGCGGTGACAGCGGTGCGGGGAGCGGTGGGCAGAAATCCTGCAGTGTGGCGTCACGACAGGAAAAAAAGAAGAAACCCCGCCCACTCCCTTTCCGATTCCGAGGCTCGTCATTGGCTCTACGATATAGTCACCACTGTCTCTTCGTTCATTGGCCTGTTCGGCTGTCAGTCAGCGTGGCCGAGAGGGAGTTGACGTAATCTCTCCAGTAAATCAAGGCAATCCATCAATTCTTCTTTTCGCCTGTGTGCAGATCAGACGTCCGCCTTCCCATCTCTACTGGAAAATAAACTCGTCAAGGGGTCGCCGGCAGCAGTCCATCCGGCGGAGGATACCGCTATAATGGGTGATTTCCACCTGAGTGGACTTTACAACAGTTTTCGCGCTTGCGGATTTTGATAGAAAACAACACAGCTTGAAACGCCCGCTAGCTAGCGTTAGTTCTCGCCGCTGTCCTGTGGTGTTATCTTGGTGAAGTCTTCAAACGTGAGTCAAAACGATGGATTAATATATGTATTTATATTTTGTAACGTTTGTAGTGCATGAGGTTGTTATAACAATATTATTTGTGCAGTTGTCGGTGGCTGGTGAGCAGTTTTAGCTAACGTTACTGTCACGTTAGTGTATTTGCACCGATAGCTTCATAGTCCTGGTTTCGATAAACGTTTTACATTCATACATAATTTGCAAATCGTATACTATTACTTATTTACGATCATAGTATTTGCCTTTGGTTGGATACTTATATCCTTCGTACAGACACCGGAGGTTACTTCTGTCTCGGCCATAAACAGAGCGCAAAGTCATTAACATTTCATGTTTCAACCCCAGCTTGCAGTTAAATATACATAATAGTTGCCGTTTAAAGCATTGCACCCACTGTTAACATCGTCAAACATGAACATTGTGTCGAGTCTGTGCTGCTTAAATAAGAATGCAACTCCTCCCTGCACTATTCCACAACATACAGCCGCCGTGGATTAGCCTATACTTCTTCCTAACATCGGTGAATTTCATTAGAAAAAGGAGGAAATGTAAGCGGTTTGCCTGCACACAATGAACCCAGTTGGATGGAGCAGGCAGGCCCGGCTCACTGCCCGACTGTAGCTCACACAAAATAGGGTAGATAGAATTTCATGGGCGTATGCTTTTTTAGCAAGTATGGCTGACTGCAAGGACATGAAAAAAACATTGGCAAATGTAGCCACTGGCCACGGGATGTAAGGCTTCAGTAGACTGTCAACCCATTGGAAAGTTGTCTTTAAAAAAAAAAAACATTATGTGTATGCATATCAATTATCACATGCATTATTCATATCTTGTATTTGTCAATAACCGTATTTTGCATATGCTTTGGAATATATATCAAATGCATTGCCCTATATCCTTATTTTAGATGTTAAATGTATAATTTGCTGCTGTTTACAACATATTAAAGCCCTTCAGTGGTTTGGAGCGGCCATATTTGTTGTATGCTGTTATGAATAGAAATGTGCAGGGGGTGGACTTTCATTGTGTTTGATATACATCATGTGATAATGGGTATTGCATTTTCTCAGTGTATCTTTCCTTAAACACAGTCTTGCTTCGTTTATTAAAAACCAGATATTCTCTTTGTAAATTGGATGCAAACATCTCTTTTCTGTCTTTATTTCAGGAGGGATATCAAAGGAATCTTACTTGTGGTCGTTTCTAAACCACAAAGATGTCGGGGGCATCTGTAAAAGTTGCGGTTCGAGTTCGGCCCTTCAACTCCAGGGAGACGGGCAAGGACTCCAAATGCATCATTCACATGCAAGGCAACACTACAAGTAAGTCTACTGGCGTGCACACAACCAAACAATATGTCTTGAATGTATGCAGGCCTGTCTGCTGAGGGTCGTTTGGTATACCACACATGCACCCACGTGGTCTTCCTTCAGGCCTCTTAGCAGGGGACAGGAGAATGAGCAAACTGAATAGTGGACGGTTGGGGACAAACAGCCTGAAAGGGAATAAAAGGCCTACTGAGGGAAATTCCTCCTCCTCTGAAGGGGGCTGCATGCCTTAGGAGTCTCAGTGTGAGAAACGCTGAGTTGCTCAATACTGAGAGACCCAGGGGTCGCCTCCCAGCCTGTCCCACTAATACCTTCAATTCATCAAGGCTTTATCCCACAGTTCATGTTTTAGAATGGATTTGTCTGTTACTTTGTAGTTTATGATTGTCTTATCTCCCAGTCAGTGTATACAAGTGGCTGTAAAGTACTTGTAGAGTTGTGTCAAGTGTTATGGCCATAATTATTATTTATGTTGTGTGTAGCTTTTTATTTTGCTGTACATTTCACACAAAAACAAATGGCGGGGTTACATTTATTGGCCTGCTGAAATTAAGGAAAATATGACTCAACTTCTCATATGTTTTGTCGTATATTTGTGTCACCTTGACAATACATTATTGCAATCAGTAAATAAGATGGATGAGTCATAAATCGACCAGATTTGTTTCTAAAGCGTTATTTTTAAATCGAGGCTTAATGCGTCAGTCATTCGTGAATAGAAAGATAGATGTACTCGAATCAAATATACACTCAAATCCAATTGTATGTATTAATGTGTACTTGCAGTGCAGAAAGAGAAGACTTGAATGTGGGTTGTAGTCTTGTGATCAACCTGCCTACTTGTGACTGTGAGTCATCATGTACTGTGTAAGTGCTAGCTGCCTCCTTGCTCATGGTTGTGCTGTATTTCCAATTCCAGCTGACAGATGAGTACAATCTCCCCGACAGTAGCATGGAAACATTTTAAAACCAGTAACTAGATAGCATGTGACAGCAGAAACCTGTTCTTCCAGCTCTCTTATTTGCCTCGACTTTTGTCTGTCAGTCTTACCGGGCTCATTAGACTAAGCCTTTATGAATCTTCCATAAGATCAAGTGTCCCTACTAGCTATGGCTCACATGCCCTTTATCTCTCAAACTGTACCAAAGAGAAGCTTTGTGTCAAATCCCCAGTACTTTTGCTCCATATCCTTGGGTTTTCATTATGCCAAAGTCACTAGGAAGTGCTGAAGGGTGACTCGTGGTTTTGAGCAGAACTGCAGTAGAATATGCAGCTTTTTCAGGCTTAGCGTGTGTGTGAGTGAGGGAGAGGAAGAGGTTGCAGCACTGCTTACTCTACCTCTATCACATGGGCAGATTGCAGAGCAGAAAGGGAGGCTGGCAGGCGGCCATACTCTCCCTTCACCAGGACTTCATTGCAGATGGTATGCTGAGAAGGCTGTCCTATTGAGATACTGAGAGGTTGAATGGTACCTTGTGGCTCCAACATGCTCATGTTCATACATGCAGATGAGACTTTGTGATACGAAGTGAGAAAATGTGACCTTTCTGTAGTTGTGATTCTGCATTTTTGTATATATCAGAGTCCACCAAAGCCAACGTACATTTCTTATTATAAACTATGCATCAGTAGTTTGTTTGGAAGGGGCTCAATGTTTCTATAATGTGTTAATTTGTTGGCACACCCGTTATGACTTTTTATGGCTAGATTACGTCGTGGTTTAATTTGAACAACATTTCTCAATAATTGTGCATGAGTATGTTTCTTTGACTTTGGCAAGTTTGTGTTTTCCTTTATTACTGGTTGTCAAAACAGATGGACTTTTGCCCCATATAAGGCAGTGTATATACAGCTCTGGAAACATTTAAGAGACCACTGCAGCATTATCAGTTTCTCTGGTTTGACTATTTATAGCTATGTGTTTGATTAAAAGGAAATCTTTTTATTTTACTCTATAAACTACTGACAACATTTCTCTGTGTTGGAATTCAACAGACACTGGAATGGAATGGCTGGCGTACATGCAGAGATTGAGATTTAAGACACATTTGGAGTGGTCTCTTTATTTGTCCAGAGCTGTATAACTTATCAACACGTTTTTTTGTACTCAACAAAAAACATATTTTAAGTATCAAATACTCTCCAATGAAAGGAGAATTTTTGTCATGAACTTTCTCTTTGCTCAGCTAAAATTCATTCTTTTAATTTCAATGTTTTATATATTATGCTGCTTTAATCTGAATCAATGGTGCCATTGTTTTAGCACAACACAGTGTATACATGACCTGTGATGGTTTTTATTATTTTATGCCCTCTGATTGGCTAAAATCTGAATGAGACTGAGAGCTGGGATGTGTTATGGAGTTGCTTGGTCAGCCTGCAGTTGTTTGCAGATGTGTGTATGAGGCCATGACACACCCCTTATTGTTGCGACTCACTCAAGGGCAAATGTTGGTGCGTGTGTGTCAACAGAGGCACAGAGAAAGAGAGGGCCTGGGGGCAATGGCAGGATGTCTTTTCACCATGCACGGAGGGTCGTCTGGGATAGTGTGCAGGTAGAGGGGCTGCAAATTGATTATCCAGTGTGCAGGAAATGTGTCCAAGGCCTCTGCAGGCAGGCTGGAAACAAGTAAAGGCCTCTTTCACTAGAAGCTCCTAAACATACCAGAGCTAATGTAATTATAAATGGGTGACGTGATGGGCTGTTGCGTTAGTTACTGTTGGTGCTCCGAATGTTGAATAACGGCAGGACACCCGAAGCCTGCCTTCGGTCAGTGTTATGTAACCAATGTGTTGTGTTGCCCCTCAGCCAATGAGCAGCATGAATGTATGGCTGGCCAAAGATGGGCAATAGGTCTCGTACAGTGCGAAGAGAAGCAGATCCCCTGATATGTTAGACCACTACATTGACTTTATTGGAACAAACCTGCGTTCAGATGCATTATCATCCACATTATCAGTTGTATTTACAGTATGGGAGATAAATGCTTTATTAATAGATACCAACCCAGCCTATACCCATGTTTTCCAGAACTGGTTGAATGGTGCACGATGTTATCCCCCTAAGCTAAGCGTAAACTAATGCTAGAACAAACAAAAGGTCACTTTGTCAATTAAACACTCACCTTTCAGATAGAATTTTGCTGAGTGTCGTCAGTTTGAGCTAAGTGGACGGTGACCTTACAAAAACCCTACAGGGAGGAATCGGCTCACCTATAGTGTCAGTTACAGCAAAGAGGAGGCTATCACCTCAGCAGAACCGACAATGAGCCCATATTGTTTGAATAAACCGCTAGCAGAGAGCTAACAGGACAAGTGGGGATCATGGGGGTCTGGTTGAGGGATGATCATCTATCCTGCCGCTGAACACTTTGCAGACAGGGACGATTGACCTGATTAGAGACAGTAATCTGCAGTCTTGCCTCAGGTCGCCACGCCCTGCTGCTGTAATCCCAGTGACCCTTGTAGGTGTACACAAGCAACGCACACCAACTCAGGGTGTTACATTCCTCATCGCCTCATGCTGAGATAGTTTGTGAGCAACACGCATTTGCACACATGCAGCACTTTCACATTCCAGACTGACCGTAATGAGGAGGGAGGACAGGCAGATGTCCGTGTCGTGATCTGCTCATGCTGTGCCTGAGGAATTTCAGGCCAGAGGCGCAAGTGCATGGCTTGCAGGCAGCTAAGCCAGTTTGTTGTACACTTACCTGTAACGGAAACAGAAAATAACTAACATGTTGCACTTTGTTACACACTTGAAATGATTTGGACTTTAACCTTATTGATATTGAGAGCAGGTGGGACCTCTGTGTCACTTTTTCAAATGATAATGAAGAACAGACAATAATCTTATGAGTCATACAGCACTTTCACATCTCATATCGCTTTCATATCCTCTGTGGTCATCTTCTTCACTCTGTAGTCAAGGCAACAGCAATGTTTATTTTCTGCTGCAAAACCGCATCTTGAATGAATGAATGACTGAATGAATGAATAAAAGCTTTTTACTTCCTCCATTTACATTCTTTTCATAACATCATGTGCTTATGTTTACTTTGAGTCATGTCTTTCTGCCTGTCCATTTCTAACCTGGTGCTGCCACAGGGCAGCTACTGTGATTGGGTCGCCGTCTGTCAAGATGTGAATGATGCCGAGGTTTGACAGTTAATGATAGTTGTTTGGTTTGGGCTCGTGTTGACTGCCATAGGTAAAGGTAAATATGTGGATCTGGTAGGAATATCAGGTTGTCTATGATTTTTATTTTGTTAATAGAGTTTATTTCTTCAACAAAATTGAGACATGCTGATTCATATTGATGGTTGGTTTTGGTGAAATTCTCTTCAAGTAAATTCAGTTTAGTAAGCCATAAATGCATGAATTCAAATTGTATTAATACTATTTATTGCCTATTAAAATGTTTCACAAAGCCCTGTTAGCATTCCCATTGGCAATTAATCCTTTTTCATGAAGTGTTTTAAAGGGAATACGAAACCACAATGTGGCATTGCCTAATAGGGATAGTCTGTAGGTTGGAATGTTCTTAATGTGAACGATAAAGTGATAAATGCCTATTTCAAAATTGTGGTTTTTGCTGACCAAGCCACTTGTGGTTTCTACTCTGCAACTTAAATGGCAAAAGCTCTTCTTTGTTAACACCTTTTTTAAAGACATTTTAATAACGTTAAATTAGGACCTCAAAATCGATAGAAACATACTTTTGTGACGGTATCAAACCTCTGCGAATATCAAACGGTGGTAGAAAGCTGTACAGTCACAATGAGTCTTTGTAACTGCTGAATGTGTTGGCATTGTTCTCCTGTTACCATCTAAGGGCTGGAGGAATCAGCTACAGATGTTTTTAAACAAAGGTATTATTAGTGACGACAAACAGTACGTCATGAAAACCAATGAAAAACCCATGACCTCATGAGTGAGGTGGTTCGTGCCTCCACTGCTGGAGATCTCTATGGCCCCAAAATTGTTGAAC